AGATGTCTCGGAGGAGGGGGGGGGGCTGGTGGGGGGGTAGCAGATTCGACGGCTTTAGAGTTGCTTCGAAAAGAGCGGCGATGCGGAACATGCGACAAACGCCTGGCGAAAAATGTCAGCGTCATAGAGCATAGAGCATACGCTAATCAGCCTTCCGGAAAATCTATAGAGCATTCCTTCTGGAATCAGAGGGCGTGCAAGGATTAGGAAGAATGGCGTTGAAGGGACTCCATTAATGTGAGGTAAGGATTGCTGTGTCGCGCGGCGTGACTAGTCCAATTTCATCGATCGCACGTCAACTGGTTGCGGAACACGCCGCGCGGTGACGGAACTTACGGAAGGTAAGTAAGCCATTGCGATTATAAATTACTGCTGTGCATGTAGCACCCATACCAGTCAGCAATGCCTGCTGTCTGCCCGTCTGTCCATCTGCTGTGCGTCTGTCCGCCTGCCTGTACTCGTTAGAATGTACTCGAGTTAGTTGGGCATTCCTGTCATCAACCCACCATGAACTTCCTTCCTTCCGATATAAAGTCCCCATTGGTGAAATTGAGAGTGAGGAGGAGAGAAACATTTGTTGAAACCTTATATGTGTATCGAAGCAAGAGAATAACAGACTTCAAACTTCTCCTGCTTGGGGGCCACGCCCACGCCTCCACCCTCTAGGAGCACCATGTTTCTGAAGCAAGACCTTCGGGGTTGCCTGCACTGCATTATGAAAACCATGGGTCACGCAGCGCTTCGGGTTTCTTTCATGGTTCAACAGGTGATGCCTGTTCGTTCAGGGCTCGTTGGACGCGGTTGAATACGTTCAACCACGTTTGGGAGCGGTACTGTATTTGGTTTTCTCGACTTCCAACCGCCCCGCAACCAAGTCTAATCTGCAAGTCAGCTGTGATATTGTATGGTCAATGATCGAGTGACCCGCCCAATAACTTGAACAAGCCTGGAATCCAGCTTGCACGGTTCCACATCCTTTTGCCGAACAGCACGTGCCATCGTAGCCTTCACCCGTTTGCCTTCCAGCAGTCGAATCATCCCCGCCACATGCGGAAGTGCTTGCGCTATGCGACAACAATCGTCCGTCGCCGTCATGCGACGGCTGCTGCGACGAGCTCCAGGTCGCCGGCGACAGATCGCCGCGATCCTTCTCGTCTTATCGCTGACGTCAGCCATGGTTGTCCTGCTGGTAGGATACCGTGCAGGCAGGGAGATGGAAGAAGGAGGCGCGGCGCGGCGCGAAGGAGCGCACGGGAAAATCGAGAATGGCGATGGGGACGCGCGGGAGGGGAGGGGGGAACGGGGGAGCGCAGACGGGAAGAGGCAGCGGTGCGAGGGCGGGGAGACGGCGCCGCGTCACGACGAGAGGAGCGCGTTTCCAGCCGTCACGGCGGATATGATCGCTGTTGCTGAGGTGAGCTGTTGCTGAGGTGAGCTGTTGCTGAGGTGAGCTGTTGCTGAGGTGAGCTGTTGCTGAGGTGAGCTGTTGCTGAGGTGAGCTGTTGCTGAGGTGAGCTGTTGCTGAGGTGAGCTGTTGCTGAGGTGAGCTGTTGCTGAGGTGAGCTGTTGCTGAGGTGAGCTGTTGCTGAGGTGAGCTGTTGCTGAGGTGAGCTGTTGCTGAGGTGAGCTGTTGCTGAGGTGAGCTGTTGCTGAGGTGAGCTGTTGCTGAGGTAAGCTGTTGGACCGGCGGTTACTTTTGACATGGCTTTTTTTCATGTGAGTTCTGATGGAGCTGCTTTTGAGAATACTCAAGAGCTCCAACATACATAGCTCGTCTCGTCTTCACTTGGAAGTCACCACCTGAGTCCGGCTGATACGCTCGCTGTGACCGAGGTGCGCGGCCGTTGCACGAGTCACTCTTGAGAACTCTCACTAGTGACTCTATCCCACATTTTTTAGAATTCTCAAAAGTGAAATCAATATTGACGGCCGTTGCACGAGTCACTCTTGAGAACTCTCACCAGTGACTTTATCTATCCCACACGTGCCTGTCCGTCCATCTGTCCGTTTTCTACGATGGAAACATCCCGCCTGTTTGGGGTGATGTGCATGTGACTTGCAAGAAGCAGCCCCTCCTCCTCTTTTACTCTCCATCACTCTCTCTTTCATCACCCCCGGACTCCCCCTCCTTTCCCCTCCCCACCCCTGTGCGCTGTGCCCTGTGCGCTGCACCCTGTGCGCCCAGCAGGGCTCACTGTCTGCGCGCCTGCTCTACATGTGTGCATGCGATGCCGTGGCCGTAACATCACGCCTCACACTGCAAGTAATCTGGTCGACTGCTTCTGCTTCTGCTTTTGCTTCTGCTTCTTCTGATGATGCTGCTTCTGCTGATTCTGTTGCTGCTGCCGGTGGCGCTGCTGGTGGTGGTAATATTGCTGCGTTTGATGCAACAGCTCCTGCTGCTGCTGCTGCCAATGCCAGTCTCGCCCGTGGCACAACGGTCACCAGTAGTCATAGTGGTAGTACCAGCAGCAGCAGCAGATGCAGGGATGCCAACGGCCATGGCTGGTCCAGTAACAGCCGTGATGCAAGCGATGGGAGAGGCGTTGGAGAAGGGTTTTCCAGCCCGTCCTGTGCTTATAACGAGAGGACATACCAGGAGATGGAGGGCGTCAGGTTCTCCGATCTGTTTGATGGCCAAGTGGGTGACGTGGCGGTCATTGATTGGCCGCCTGTTTCATCTCAAGGAGCCGGAACAGGAGCAGGCGGAGGGGTGTTTGATGCACTGCCAGCACAGTTCACCCGTGTCAAGGTAAGTGGTCGCTTGTGTGTAGGAATGTTAATGGGGTAGCAGCTGATGGTTTTTTAATGAATTGGTACTTGTTTTGCGCTTGCATTCATGCCCACCTGCACCTGCACATTCACATGCCCATGCCATGCCCATGCTCATGCCCATACAGTGACAGCAAGCTCATCCTTTTCCTCGATGCAAAATGGTTTGGCATTGAATGGTGTGGCATGGCATGACATGCACAACGTTGCATGGCTTGGCATGGCATGGCATGGCATGGCCTGGCATGGCATGGCATGGCATGGCGTGGCATGGCCTGCCGTGGCATGGCACGGCACGGCACGGCACGGCACGGCACGGCACGGCACGGCATGGCACGGCATGGCATGGCATGGCATGGCATGGCATGCCATGGTGCACAGGTTCAATCATCTCCTTGCTCCAAGACGTGGCCTGACATACCCACAGGAGGCAGCAGCAGCAGCAGCGGTGCTGCTAGTAGCACAGGGACCACAGAGGATGGGAGCAGAGGGGTGGGGAGTGGAGGAATGGGGAGAGGTGGGACAGCAGGGAGTGAGCAGCACATGCATGCATGGCTGTCCAGTGTGTTTGACTCTCTGCCGCTGCTCGTGCACTCGAGTAAACAGTCAGAGCTTCACTCCAAGGTAAGGCCATGTGAGCTCATTTCCAAGGTAAGGCCATGTGAGCTCATTTCCAAGGTAAGGCCGTGTGAGCTCAAGTCCAAGGAAAGGCCGTGTCGTGTCAGTAATGAACCTCTGGGTGTGGGAGCTTCACCCCACCTTTCCTGCCCCTCCCTTTTGCACTGGTTCTCCCGCTTCTCCCCTGGGATCCATACTCCCACTTACTCTCTCCTCCCTCCCTTTCCCCGTTTCCCGCCTTCCCTGCTTCCTGCACTCTCGCAGTTTCCCCTTCCCCAGTGCCACCTGCAGCAGCACTTCACAGCGTGCCTGGCTCGCTTGCGCCCCTCTCCTCCTGTAGCGGCCATGGTTGCCCGGGAGAGGCTCAAGACGCTCGTGCGGCGCAGTGCTGCTGTGCTCTTGCAGGTGGGTGGGTGGGCGTGGGGTGGTGACTTTTGATGAGACGTCTCAAAAGGAGGCTCAAGCCTCAGGCCGCTAGTGCAGCCCAGTGCAGCGCATTGCTGCTGTGCTCTTGCAGGTGGGTGTGTGGGTTGGTGAATTTTGAAACGTCTCAGAAAGAGGCTCAAGACGCTAGTGCAGCCCGGTGCTGCTGTGCTGCTGTGCTGCTGTGCAGCCTAGTGCTGCTGTGCAGCCTAGTGATGCTGTGCAGCCTAGTGCTGCTGTGCAGCCTAGTGCTGCTGTGCTGTTGCAGGTGGGTGTGGGGGGTGGGAACAGGTGGTGGATTTGGGGTGGTGAGCACAGGTAATTTTTTAGGCGCCTGAAGAAAAGTAGTCTTTCTTTCTAGAAACCTTTAAAGATGTAAGGTGATGGAACGGAACAATCTGACCAATGTAAGAGTACTCTTGTCAAATGCACCCCTCATCAATCTCTGGTAATTTTCCTCATATATCTTCTGTGCCTTTCTCATCCCCCTCTCGCCTCCTTCCCAGCCTTCAAGCAGCCAATCAGGAGCTGCCACGTGTCCTGCGTGTCAGGGGAGCCGTTCAGTGGAGGAGTGTGTGAAGAGGGCGGTGGGGCAGCGCATGCTCATGAACCCCCGTGCCCGCTTCGTGCTTGCTGCTGCCACTCATGCTGCTGCTGCTGCTGCCGATGGTGGCATCGGCAGTAGTGGCAGTGGCACCAGCAGCAGTGGCACCAGCAGCAGTGGCAGCAGCAGCAGTGGCAGCAGCAGCAGTGGCAGTGTTCTGAAGGCGGCATGGCGCCTTATGTCTGTTTGCTCCCATCCCCCACCGGCGCTCCTTCTTGCCCTGGAGCAACAGCAGCAGCACCAGCAGCAGCGCCTGCTGCTGCAGCAGTCACAGAATTCACACACGAGAGAGGGAGAAGAAGGTAAACGGGATGAGAGTGGGAGGGCACTGCTGCAGCAGCACCTGCTGCAACACTCACAGCAGGCACACGCCAGAGCAGGAGGAGAAGGTGGTGAGCAGTTTCCAGGTGGTGTGAGGGTGCATAGAGGGCTGCAGCAGGAATCGGAATATGAGAAGGAGAAGGAGGAAGAGGATGGGGATGAGGAGGAGGACAAGCAGAAGGCAAAGGTCAGGGAAAAGAAAGCTGAGAAAGCGAAAGAGGGCGAGCAAGAGGGAGAGGTGATGCGAGAGGGGCAGGAGAGTCATGGGCCACAATTAAAGCAGCAGCAGCAGCAAGAGCTCATACGGCCTCAGCAGCCCCAGCAGCAGCAGCAGGTGCGCAACAGCCTTCCCACCCGCATCTCCCTGCTCCTATCCTCGCAGCTGCAGTGGAGTCTCGTGCGCGGAGGCACGATGGAAAAGAGTGAGCGTGGGCTGCTTTCGAGAACAACGCACAATGACCGTTTGGTTGGGCACAACATGCATGACTTTCTTTCGAGAGTTTTCAAGGGGAATCTGGTTGAAAGGGGTCCAGTGGTTGTTGAGGGCGGCAGGGTGGTGGATCGGGTTGGTGAGAGGGGGGGAAACAGGGAGGATGGGGAGGAAGAGGAGGAAGAGGAAGAGGAAGGAGAAGGCGATGGCGATGGTGGTGCTGCTGCTGGTGGTGCTGCTGCTGCTGCAGGATATGAGGAGAGGATTAGTTTCGAAGGGAGCTTGGCGTTTCCATGTGATGGGGATGGGCTTGGATTGGACAGGTCGATGCCCACGGTTGGAGTTGCAATTGCATCATCATCAGTAGCAGCAGGAGGAGGAAAAGCAGGAGGAGAAGGAGGAGAAGCAGGAGGAGCAGGAGGAACAGGAGGAGGGGGAGGAGCTGAAGGAGCAGCAGGGGCAGGTGGTGATGTGTGTTGTCTTACAGTGCTGTCTCCATCTGGAAAACGGTTTCTACAGCGGAAGGGAGTGAGTGAGGATGAAATGCGAGCACTTCTCTTACAGGAACCGCCCAAGCAAAGGGGACAAACCCAAGAGCAGCAGCAGCAGCAGCATGAGTATGCTGCTCGTTCCCACTATCCTTCCTTCGGGCATAAGTTGCTGTGTGGTGGTGGTGGAAGCAGAGGTGGTTCAAGTCCAAGGGAAACGCACATCGCTGGGACGGAGAGGAGGAGGGCGAGGAGGGGAGAAGGGCACGCATACAGCACCGACAGCGTATTCTTTTCGCTCAGTACTCTGTAATGTCCTGTCCAGATTGAGTTTGGAGGGCATGTAAACTGAGCAAGGTGCAGTGTTTTTGCTCTTTCTTTCTTTCTTTCTTTCTTTCTTTCTTTCTTTCTTTCTTTCTTTCTTTCTTTCTTTCTTTCTTTCTTTTTTCTTTCTTTCTTTCTTTCTTTCCCCTGAGTTGTCACAACTTTTCTCAGGTGGTTTTTCTTCCGCTGCTTGGGATCTTTTTCAAATCTCTCTCAATGTTCTCTCTTGCCTCTTCTTCACACAATCTCTTTTCTCTGCAGCCCCTCTCTGCATCACTCCTCCTCCATCTGTTTCGCCTCTCAACTCAAACAACCTGTCCTTCTCCAAACATCCTCCTTTCATATTCCTGTCTCCAATCTCCCCTCCCCTTACCCCCTTCTCCTTCCCCCTTTCCGCCCTTTCTTCCTGCACTCCTCTCCCCTTCAACCCTCCCCCCATTCCACCCCTCCCTCCCACCCAGAAACCCCTCAGCTTTCAGCTCTCTTGACCTCAGCCCAAGCGCAGTATCTCATATTCGCCTACCATTCTGGAGACTCCGCATTCATCCAAGCCCAGGCGTCGTCCCTCTCAGGCTCCTTCCTCGCATCCTCGCCTCTCTGCCACCCGCTCGCACTGCCACCTCTCTCAGTGCAACGTCTCCCTTTGGTGCAATACTCGCGATTCCAAGGTTTGTGGCGTGAGAATTCTGAATGTCGCCTGTCCTTTGTGCTAAGTAACTAAAGACCTCGTTCCCCGTGCTGTCGTTGCCCCCTCTGCTTTTGAACGTCACCAAAAACACAAGCCGTGCTTCTTGGACCACGCCAATCCATCCAAACCATGCTAATCCGGTCACGCTATAGCATTGATCAACGTTTCTGGTTGGAAATTCGTCATTTCCCCTCCACCCTCCCACTCCCCACTTCCCTTTGTCCCCCACTCCCCTGCCTTCCATCCTCCGGAAACCTCCCTTTCCCAGCATCATCTCGTGCGCTGGTGTGCTCTGTGGACGCCCCTCCTGCTGGTGTTTCCTGGGCTGACCTCGCCTTAGCCATGCGCACTAACACACGCTCGCAGGCTGCTGCTGCTGCTGCTGCTGCTAATGCTGCTGCTGCTGCTGCTGCTGCTGCTGCTGCTGCTGCTGCTGCTAATGCTTCTGCTGTTAGATCTGCAGCCGATCATACAGGAGTTGATAGCTCCGCGGGGGAAGGGCATAAAGGGCGGCAGAGGGAGACGAGAGAGGCTGGGGAGGAAACGGAGGAGAAGGATAGGAAAGGAGAGGGTAAGAGGGAGGAGGAGGAGGGGGCGGAGGAGAGGGAGGAGGACGCGTTGCTGTGGTTGTTGACGAGTGGGCAGTGGCGCAAGGTGGCGCTGGTCAGCAATCCCTACCTGCGTGCTGCTCGCTCCTTCCTCCACGTTTGCCATCTCATGCTGGAGGAGCCTGCTCGGCTGCAGCTGCAGCAGCAGCAACAGCAACGGGAGCAACAGGAGCAGCAGCAACGGGAGCAACAGCAACAGGAGCAACAGGAGCAACAGGAGCAGCAGCAACGGGATCAGGAGGGGCGGCAGCAGGTGGGCAAGGTGCAATGAAGTGTTAAACTCGAACTTTCTCCTTGCCAGCTTAAAAGCATCTTAAAAGCATCAGCTCAGCCTTTCTCCTCTCACCGTTTCTTGTTACTTTCTTCTTCGTTCTTTCTCTCTCTCTCTCTTTTTCTTTCTTTCTTTCTTTCTTCCTTCCTTCCTTCCTTCCTTCCTTCCTTCCTTCCTTCCTTCCTTCCTTCCTTCCTTCCTTCCTTCCTTCCTTCCTTCCTTCCTTCCTTCCTTCCTTCCTTCCTTCCTTCCTTCCTTCCTTCCTTCCTTCTTTCATTACTTTCTTTCCATCTTTCCATATTTCTCTTCTCCCTTTTTTTTTTTTTTTAAATAGGTGCATAACTGATCACCCTCGATGCTTGCTACACATTCATAGGACGTGAATCAACCAGCAACAGCAGCTCATGCAACATGAACCCTTCTCTCTTTCCTTCGCAGTTGGCACGGACTTTTAACGCAGCAGTAGCTTTTCGGAACAACGTTCAGCCATTCACCAACCCTCTGCTTGCTTGCAGCAGCAACAACAGCAGCAGTACATCAGCTGCTGCTGCAGCTGTGCTGTTCCAGCAGTACGTGTGTGGTACAGGGCGAGCAGCACAGGTGGCACGGGAGCATGCGAGGACCACTGGAGAAGCGTCTGTTTTTGTGCAGCAGGTGAGGTGCTGCCAGCCACCACTTTGGTCGGGGTTGTCGATTTCCTCGCAAGTTGAATTTCTTTGTTGCAGTTGCAGTAAATCTTGCATCTGTTGCAATCGCTTCGCTCTCCCTACCACACGTAATCCGCACACCGTTCACTTCATGTACTTTTTCTCCACCTCCCCCTCCCACTTCCCCACTGGTCTCATCCCTTGCCATACCCACTCTCTCCCCTCCCTTCTCTCTCATCCCCTCCTCCTCCCTTTCTCTCCCCCCTCCAGGTGCATGCATGCTCCCTAGAGAGCATCAGATACGACTCCATTCTGCACATTGATTCCGCTGCTCCCTCCTCCCTCGTTCACCCTCTCCCTTCCCGAGCCTCCTCCTTCCGAGCCTCTCTTGTGTCCCCTGAGGAATGGGAACGTTTGGCTCGTGACCTGCACCTGCCCTCTGTTTCCCATGCCATCCATCTGCTGCTGCCTCTAGGCCTTCCTCCTCCCCTTCTCTCCCAAACGCTCCTTCAATTGTATAGCAAGGTACAACCAACCTCCCATTGATTGTAAACTGCAAACCCACACTCATTTGTTTGACTGCTCTTCAGCCCTGATCTCGTTATGCTCACTACTTACTATGGTATGCCCTGCAGGCCCCTTTTGGTCCTGCTCACCATTCCATTTGCCTTCTAACCTCATGATCACTCCCTCCCCCCTCTCCTCCCCCCTTGTTCTTCCCATGGTCAGGATGCCTTTGGGTGTGTGAAGAGGCTGAATCAAGTGGACATGTCAATAAGACTCAACGACGCTACCTTTGATGTTCCCCAGGCTCTTTTTGACAGGTTTGTTCGCGATGCTGCTGTGAATTTCTGGCAGAGCACCACGAATGCTAGTAGATACTTGCAAAAAAGAGTCTGAGTTACTGAGAGTACTGGAATGACTTCTGATGAGCAATACCGCTTGTACGGTACCATGCATAACTAATGTTGAAAGAACGATGCCAGATGGCCGGAAAAAAAGGTGGGGTGGGTGAAGGGGAGATGGGGGGAAATGGGGGGGAAATTGAGGTGGCGGATTCTGAGGAGAAACGCCTTTTCTCATTTATGACTACAACTCAAATAATACCAGATTATTTACAGACCAAGGCCAGCGTCATCGTCACCGTCAGCAAGCTTGCTCTGGTACACAAAGAATAGTGCCCAGACCCCAGTGAACACCCCAGCGACGACCCACGTAAAGTTATTGTCGCTTAGGCCTAGAGGCAAGCCGGTTCCCTCGCCTCCTAAAATGGTTTCTACAGCGGCGACGGACGGCAGCGCGGCCGTCGCGGTGGCTAGTAAGGTGGTGGAGATGGCAAGAGCAGCCTTCTTGTGGGGCCTTTCAGCAGAGCATGTCACACGGGACGCGCGGAGCAACGGGAGACCTGCAGGAGCACGACAATCGCTGGTGGGTGGTAAGGACGATGAAGGGAATTAAACATCACTGAGAAAATGGCGAATCAATGTGGTAGAAATGTAATCTCACCAGCAGAATGAGCAGCCACAGTTCGCTTCTGCGAGACCGACTTCTGCACGAGGCAGGCTACGCTGGATGATGTGGCCGCGACGGTAGCCATGCTCACAAATTACGTAGCTTGCCTAGTCTGGTGTGCTGCTGTGCCTGCTAGACTTATGGAACTGGATTTCGAGTCTGGAACGGGCTCCGAAATCTGGCATCATCGTTCACTGGGATACTCCTGTACTCCTGTCCCTCTGTGTCATGCGAATGTGCGCTGCGGTAGTGTGGGAGTGTAAAGATCGATGCAGTTTTGCGCGAGGAGTTCATGAACTGAGTGAGTCCACGTCGATGGAGCGCTTTGAATGGTTGACGAGGGAAGAAGGTGCGGTGAGGAAGTGTTACGGTGTTCTGCTTAAGAATCGACTCGGGTATCCCTAAAAGCCAAGCGAAAGCAGTTCGTAACACCTATAGTCCAGGTAATATATTTGAATCTACATGTAGATTCTTTTAGATTAGCTTCAAAATGTTAAACAATGCTGCATCGCATCAACGTCAAAGACATTCACTTAATATATATATATATATATATTTGCTACAGGCTGAAGTTCCTTCATAGGAACATCACTCAAAATTAGCAACGGAGGCTCTTTGTGATTGATAAGGACCTGGAATCACAGCAAAAGTGACTATTACAATGACATAGTTTGTATTCAAGAAATACAACATGTCCTATCTGAAATGTATTAGCGCATGGTGGCGCCCGCGCATGCTCGCTCCAACAACACGAAAATGTTGGGAGATTTGCTGGTTCATGAACCTGGTTGAATCCTCGGATGTGCATGTGCCAACAATCTTGGATTCTGTAGCATTTCATATCTTCAGGCCTTCAGGTTTCCTGCCAAAAAAGTCATTCTGCTCTTGCAGGTGTACAATTCTTTTCCAAGGATCAGATTTCAGTGGCGCGCGAGCAAACTACCCCACGCTCGAGAATGAAATGGTTCGTTTCTGTTCTGACTCGTTGACCAGGTGTCCCTTGAGGGAGGGACATCCAACGGAGAGCAACCCCGATATTTTCTCTCGCCCTTCTTCACTTCCATACTGGATGTTTCTCTCTTCACTTCCAAACTGGTTGCCTAATAACCAGATCAGTCACCAACACCACCCTGCTCCGCTCCAATGACTGATAGCGGAGGTCAACGTGCATTATGAATTAAAAACCGAGTAGAACAAAGGAGCTCGGCGTCACATTTCTACTTACATAAGCCTATTAGCACAAAAGAATCTGAAAGTGTCTTTTATGGGTTTATTTCACGAACCATCAGGGATAAGCGAGATAGGATATTTGTGTCCTGGCTCCCTCCATTGTTCCCCTGCAGTTCTCCATTCTCTCCCATGATCACGCGTGGCGGCCGCAACTTTCCAACTTCTCATGGCCTATTGAACAGCTTTTAGGGTTTTCTTCCCACGCTGTATGGACGGAGGCGTGGGTTGCTTGGCCTTTCGGAGTACGAGAGGCCAACTGAATCGAACAGACACCTCGGGCAAGGGCAAGGCTAGAAGGTATGACAGAAGCTTCTCCCTCAACCTTGCCTTCATCCTCCCCGCCCCAGCCATGCTGACTCATTTCTCCTCCTCTGGCTCACCTCCCATCACCTAACCGTACGTCAAAGCAACGCTGTTTCGGTGATTCACGCGTAGCATGCCAGGTCGGCCATGGTTTACCCGCAGCCAGTGGAGAGCGAACGTTATCCGAGTCTGGTCTGGTACCAGGTCCGCTGCTAGCTAATTCATCCGCGTCTCCTCCAAAACCTCATTTCGAAATCTTCCTATACAATCGTCGTAGCGCTTTGTAACTCTCGTTGTACCACTCTCTACTGATTCCTGATTCCTTGTAGCATCTGGTTCCTGATTTCGGCTTGTAGCATTAGTTCGTTCATTCGCCGCGTTAGGGACTGCGACCGTCCGTCACGATCACATCAGCGCTCGACCGTTGGATCACAACTTTCGTTGGGCTTTCGGGTTAGCGCGGCGCGCACGCATGTCGGACCAAATCGACCATCGCGTGCACGCTTGAATAACAACGCGGCAGTAACAACTCGTCGTCAGGAATATCATCGCCACTATCTTCGCTAGTACAGTCATCGTTTAACGTCCAACAGGAAACTGAGCGCGTGCCGCGCTTTCAGCCGCCAACGGCTACTACCACCATTGGTCGGAGCGCGCTCCGTTACAGGCATCCGCTCGCCCGTCATCCGTTCTATCTCATCGGCGGTCACACTGCTCTTCTCGAAAAAAATCAAGAATACTGGTCTCGGGCGCGTGCACGCGGCTGTTGCCCTGCTGCGACCTGCGCCGTAGCAGCGTCGCGGCGCTCCGTCCGATCCGGCCCGCCCTTGCCGCCGCTCATTAGGAACACTTCGCGGCTCGCATATTAGGAGTTCGTAGTTGGCCCCATAACCTTGGTGCGAAAGTAATCAGTCTGTTCTGCTGGTCTTCTAGTCTTGTACTGAAGTTAAAGACACGAGAGAGCGGCGCGAGGTGGCACCGATAGTTAATCTGCGCGAGGAGGCCATTGATTCTGGCGTGTAGGGGGCGAGGGGTGAGAGGGAGTGGGATGACTGGCGGAGTTTACGGGTCGAAAGGTTCGGGGCGGGGAGCTTCCGCGCGGCACCGGGAGCGGTTGCGGGACGACGAAAGCGGGCGGGAGAGCAGGGGGAGCCACGGCAGCCGCGGGGAGTCGAGCGGGGGGAGTAACAGTGGCGGAAACGAGTCGTCCGTGAATGGAGGCGCTAGCGCGTGGGCCATAGACTTTACAGAGGTAGGGGGGAACAGGGATGAACAGGCAGGCTTAGGTGGGGGGACGGAGGAGAGGAGGGTGGGGAGTGGAGGTAAATGTTTTGGTGAAGTGGGGGAGGAAGGGGGGGGGGGTTTTAGGAGATTGGTCTTGGAGACAGGTTTGAGATGAAGGGGTTGAGAGGGGTGAGACAGTGTCACTGCCAGGTTTAGGAGGGTGAGTTAGGTGTGGGGTATGGTGTGGAAGAGAGGGTGGTCAGGAGGGAGATGCGCGGGAGTGACGGTACGGGCCTTGAGGGTGTCGCAGGTGTGTGTGAACCTGCAAATGCGGTTTTTTAGTTCCCAAAAAGGCTTTTAATGCTGTCTAAGTCAATGTGTGAGATCTCATTGGTGCCCTTTTCTCCACCCCCCCCCCCCCCCCCCCCCCCCCCCTCCCCTCCCCCACCCACCATCCCCTCCTCCTCCCCTCCCCCCCTTAAAAACTCGCATTTGGCTGAATTTAGGGGTTCTGGAAAGGGCTTTTGTGCGAGGGTTGAAGCGTGGATGTCAGGGGAGTAGGGGGGTTGGGGGAGGGAAGGAAGGAATGGGAATGGGGTATGAAGAATCATTAGGCCTTTTGTTTTTCCTGCTTGACAACAGTGCTGACGATTCGTTCCGCTGTGTTGCTCCCATTCGTGCCGTTGCCCCACCTGCATCCAACCACACCACCCTCATCACCCTCATCACCCCCATCACCCCCATCACCCCCATCACCCCTATTGACCATTGGTGGATTTCTGACGTTCCTCCTCCTCCTCCTCCTCTCCTCCTCCTCCTCCTCCTCCTCTTCCCCGTCGTCATCCCTTCCCTCCCTCCGTCCACTTCCTCCTGTCTCCCTCATCGTCCATGTCTCCCCTCGTCCCAGTCCATAGTCCTCAAACCCTCAGCGTTTCCTGTCTCCCCTCTTCGTCTCCCTTTCTTCCATCTCTTCTCTCTTCCCTCTTCCCTCTCTTCCCTTTCGTCCTGCTCCCCTCTCCCAGGTTGAGTTGAGCGAAAAGGTCGCGACGGGCCCCTTCGGCGTGGTGCACAGAGGCGTGTATCGCTCCTTGCGGCGCCGCAAAAACCCTTCCCTCCCACTGCTGTTCCTCCGCTGCTCCCTTTCAGGTCGAGCTGGGTGAGCTAGTCGCGACGGGCTCGTTCGGCGTGATGCACAGAAGCGTGTATCCCTTCCCGCCTCTCTTACGCTCAACAACCTCCTCTCTCTTCCTCCGCACCACCCCCCAGGTTGAGCTGGGTGAGCTAGTCGCGACGGGCTCGTTCGGCGTGGTGCACAGAGGCGTGTATCGCCTCTTGGGGCGCCGCAAACACCTCCCTCCCCGCCTCTATTTTCTCCCCCTCCTCTCCCCCAACCAATCTCTCTCTTCCTCCGCTCATCCCTCCCAGGTCGAGCTGGGCGAGCTAGTCGCGACGGGCTCGTTCGGTGTGGTGCACAGAGGCGTGTATCGCGGGCAACAAATAGCGGTCAAGTTCCTGCTGTTCCCGGAAGCTAGTAGCGAGGATGACTTAAACCGGGCCAAGAGGGGGTTCCGGCAGGAGGTGGCGGTGTGGCACAAACTGCAGCACCCAAACGTCGTGCAGGTGCGTGCGTGCGTGCGTGGGGGGGGGGGGGGGGGGGGGGAGAGGAGAGGTGCGTGTCTGTGTGCGTGCATGCGGTTGTCTTCTTTGAGTGGCCTCCCGCGCCTTCTCTCCTCTGGGTTCCGGCCGGAGGTGGCGGTGTGGCACGAACTGCAGCACCCAAACGTTGTGCAGGTGCGTGCGTGCGCGGATGGTTGGGTGGGTGCGTGCTTGCGTGTGTGTGTGAGTGTGCGTGCGTGCTTGTGTGTGTGCATGCGTGCTTGCATGTGTATGTGCGTGTGTACTTGCATGCCTGTGTGTTTGTGCCTGCATGTGTGCGTGAGCGCGTGCGTCACTCTTCTTTAGACTCTATAAAGTGCCGCTTTCACTCCTGCACCCTCTCTCTCACCTTCTCCCACTTCACCTCCCACTCCCCCCTTCCGCACCACACTCACCCCTCCTCCCCCCCTCCCTCTTCAGTTCCTAGGCGCGTACATCAACCCGCCCAAGTGGGCCATAGTGACGGAGTTCCTAGAGGGAGGCACAGTCAAGGGCTTCCTGTCCCGGATAGGCAAGAACCGCCTGCCTCTCAAGCAGATCGTTTCCATGGCCCTCGATGTCGCCAGGTGTGTCTATGCATCCGTGCCCGTGCCTTCCCATGCCTCTCTCTTCCGGTCATGCCTCTCAAGCAGATCGTCTCCATGGCCCTCGATGTCGCCAGGTATGCCCTCCCCGCCCCGCCACGCCCCGCCCCGCCCCATGCACATGAACGCCAGTTATGCATATGCATGCCCGTGCCTGCCCCAATGAGTACGGTACGGTCCCATCCCAGGTCCTTAGATGGTTGAACCTGAAGCCGTGAATGCTGCTGGAGCAGGTCGTCTCCACTCCATGGCCCTCTCGACGTTGCCAGGTTTACTACGCTACGCCCCATACCTGTG